TATCAGTTCATCAACCCATCCTTGAGGGGTGCGTGAATGCAACTACACGCGTGTGCGATCCGGTCTATATGAGTTACCACCGCGCAACAGTCCTTCGTGGGTAGAAGTCGGCCTCCTGGATATTCCTGACGACAGCCCTCGCGTGACGATTGGTGCACTGAAAGCTCAGGTTATGTTTCGAGTTAAAAATGCCATATTCGGATTGCAGGCCCTATCGTTTCATATCGTACGACTTCGGGTCTTCAGTTAGCTACCTTAACGGCAACGCCATTCATCGTAGGATTTAGAATCTAGAGACTGACGTGAGCTTCAAGCTTTCGGAGCTCTGGTCAAACCACTGAAGGCGCTGGTGTTGTAACATTTTGGAAGACTTTTCGATGTTCATGCAGCATCGCCGAACCTAATCATCGACGTCCCGATCTTTTCACCTCGCCTGTTCACCGAGCTTGGCAAATTGTTTGCAAACATTTCATTCCCAGCCGAGGTGACGTCGTCAGTGCCTGTGAAGTGGGACTGGTCCACTTGTATCCGTTCGTTTGCGTTTTTTCTCCACCGATTATTTTTGTCCTTTGTTCTCATTGTGTTCTAGTCGGTTTGCCTTTAAACTGGTTTAGACAGAACACTTCCAGTTCACAAGCACTGATGATGAGACAAATTGCCAAGTTCGGTGAATAGGCGAAATGAATTCCAGTTCACCGGAGCAATGTGAACCGATTTTCAGTAATTTGTGAACATCCTAATCTTTCGAGATGTCACTTAAGCATCAATGGTTGACGAATGCTAGTTTCCTTGTATCAGAAACATCATTGCGTAAACGCGAAGCGTGGGTTTACTTCACATCGATTTGAGGTTTTTCAGGAAGGTTGCCCTATCTCCATTTACACGATGTTGGATTTCATCCTCAGTCTAACTGTTTGGTCTGATTGTATAACGAAGTCAATTAAAAATTGGATTGATTCATCAGGCTCTCCGTATATTGAGAGTTGTGTAGCGGGGACAGTTTTCGTTGTAATTAGTTTATCGATGTGATTAAACAGACGAAGATTTGTCGATCATTTGATTGGTTGATTTCATAGGGCCGTATAAATGATCCATATTAACGAACAATAGACCCGTTAGCCATTCTAAAAGAAGAGGTGAATCACTTTCCGCTTTGTATATGCATCAGACGACTTTTTGTCCAATGTTGCAAATATTGCATTTGTGTTGTTCGCACATCACGTCCTAAAACAGGTTCTCGAACTATTGCCATTTCCGGGTGCGGCGCCATATACGGTAGAATATAGCAAGCAAGCAAAAAACCGAAATTTCTACTTAGCTTTGACAGAAAGAGAAACATGATAGGAAATTGTGGTGATTATGCTGCGAGTACGCGTGCACCGGGATACAGCTTGCAGGTTGCCAATCAGGAAACGGATTTCCCGATCATTCCTGTGATCTAGAGTTAATTGGATTGGCTGAATGCAGCCAAATGAGCCGTACTATTGTCGATTGGACAGAATCGACCAATGATTGTTCGGCGCGTACGGTATTTGTCTACATGATTTTCCCAATAGAATTAACTGTATCCGCAGCCCGTCTTGGTTCCATCTGACTTCGCACTATTCAGTGGTTTTGCTTTTATTGCGATGAGCAGCAGACGGGGTGAAACACCCCAAAGTCACGAAAACCTGCTATTCAGCGATGGAAACTAGTAACCTAAGCCCCGGAACATTTAGTGGCTCCGCTGGGTTAGGCGGGATGTTGAACCGATTTTCAGTCTGAGTTCGAGTTTGCGCTATCAGATTCCAATTCGGAATGCTAAAGATTTACACACCTTTCAGTCGCAGAGTTTGGAACGATATGCATTCCGATGTAGCGTGCTAAATCAAACCGCAATACTTCTGATTATTAGCGATCATGGTGTTTTGAGTAGTATGTTTGGATTGCGCAAAATATGGTGATTGGTGGTTTCTCCCAACGGACAAAAGTGAACAATACCTCTAGTGCGAATTAATGTGCTGAAAATGGTAACTACGGAAAATGCGCATTTGCTGTCAGACTATTCCATGATTTATCCTCTGTGCTCGTGGGAATTCTGAAGACTTGTTCTAAATAAGACATTTTGTTGAATGTATGCCAATTTACCGAGGACCTTATAGTTATTCGTAAAAAAACAACTGTACTCGTCATGGCATCGCCATATGCAATTATAACTTCGGTATGAACACCTAACGGAATCGTCTCGCGTTCTGGAGGCCTTATGGGTCTCTGAAATGATCGATGCTATATCCTGTAGTGAGAGGGAGAAATTCAATTGTTTTGTTATGTCCTGAATTCAATATCCAACCAAACAAGCAAGCAGCGCAGTGCAATGGTGGTAAACGACTGGAGGAGCGGCTGTATGATCGTCTCGTTGTTGCTATCAACAGGACATCATAGATTAGACGTCTAGAGAACGACATTTGATATCTCCCGATTCTCGGTAGGTATGTAAACAATATGATGATTTATTGCAAACAGTATCAATTGAGTCGATAACGCTAGGTCAGAAACCAGTCTTCTTACCCGTGACGAAACATGATCCGAAGCCGAAACCGTTCTCACCTGATACTCACAAATCCATCAACTGGTGCATATTATCATGTAACGTAGCGTTGTGCATGCCGATTATAAAATACCACGCCTAAGGAAAGACGGAAGGTGCTCCAAGTTTGCGCAGATACGAGCTCCGACAGATGAAAGCAGTCCTGTTTATACATGACAAACCAGGAATTAGGAAAACGATATATAAAAAGGCCGCAATCTGGTCCCTCGACGTAAATTCACAATTGACACGGGTAGTAGCGAATCCGTCACTTCCATGGAACCGCTGTGAGATTTGAGTCCCGAACACAGAAGACTATTGCATGGTGAATTGTCACTGACACAATCTTATCGTTTTCCATGACGTAACAAGGCACTATCGGAAGCATGGAATCCTGAAGTAAAGAAGGAACTATCTATTCTAGATCTACTGCAAAGATATTTCTGATCAAACGAACGGGATTTTATGCCGCAAAGACTGCCTTATCATTGTTTCTGCTTGACTTAAAGTGTTATTAGAAAAACGGTTACTTGGGTTGTAGGTGAAGTCTTTGGAACAGCAGATACGTTGGTGGCTTCACCTGGACCAGGATGATGAACGACAAAGAATTGCGAAATGTCTCTGACGCATTGGACTCCACTGTTGGAGAGATACATATAATGTCAACGTGTCCGACCCAACATCTGCGGGCCGTTTCTCGGTAACTACCATGCTCTAGTATTTATCGTCTCCTACTCAAAGTGACCAGAGGTATTTCTGTGACAGGTGTGCAAACCCCATAATTGGTAATACAGGAAAACTGCTCTTATCGAGAAGGTATGCTGTCATCACTGATGACGAATAACAGATCACAGTTCTTTGCAATGGGGATGCAGGCGTGGTTCAATCGTAAAACTGCGCCAAATCATCCGTGTCCACTGAGAAATTCCATTGCATTAGCGAACCCCAGAAGTGTCGGAGTTGTGGAATCTTCTGCTTAGTTGCATAACCGCTACCACTGATCCTATGATCCTCCTTGCAATGCATGAATTTCAGCGATAAGATCGACTTTGAGGTAAACGATCTGTAACCAAAATGGGAAATCACTGAAAAATTAGAAACACCACGGAGAAAACGAACGAGAATCTTCATCGAATCTAGTCCAGGGCACCAGCGAGTAAAGAAACGAAGACTAATGTCATGAAAACCGACGTCGTGTCCTGAGCAGTCAAGTGTTGAACTATGCGATCGGTAACGGAAGGTTACAGGCACACCGCTGGATGAAAATGATCTAGCGCCTCGATGCGCAAATTAGATCTGAGGTAACACTTGCCAAGAACTACGCGTTGTCGTTTACCGATGATTAACATAAGATCAGTACCTTAGGCTAGCTTATTTCGTTGCAGTATAGTCAGGAAAACCTTGACTGGAAGAGCGCGGAAGCTTACCGCCTAATACGCACTGGGCCAACCGAATGTCCTTGTACAAGTTATTTAATCTGTTCGATTTTTTCCGATAACACTACTTTAATGGCTTTTTCATCCACTCCAAAGTCGGATATCGCAGTTGCCATTCTTCATTGATAACTTTTGACCATTGTGGACTGCGATTTCAGGAAAGAAACATGTTTCACATAGGTATCATTAAAGGACAGAGTCCATCAATGTAACTGGTCGGTTGCGATTTTCACAGCGTGAGTAAATTCATTGCCGAAGTTGAGTTTCATGAACCGGCATGATATTAAGGAAGACACGAGCGTATTGTACAGACTCGGTGTAACTAACCCGCTGCCTTGAAGGCTGCATTTGGGCATGTAAAGTATAGGGGCTCAAAATCGAAAGGGAAGACCGGATAATGCGCTGCGAACTTATCTCGCACCTCGGAATGCAAGTGATATATATTTACAACTCCAATAACTCAATGAAACTGGGCGAGGGGAAGACAAAGTGGACGAACGATTACTGGCAACCTAGATAGAGGATAAACACGACCGTTTGAAAGATCTTCAGCAACGGGTGCCATACAGAGATCGTAAAACAAATCTTGTTTTCTTTTGGGATGGAATCATCCGATTTGGCTCTGAATTTATCTTCTTGACAAACAGTTGAGTAGAAATAACTGTAGTACAGAAACATGAGAAAACTGGAATATCCAAGAGCCCTTAAAAAATTCCAAATCACAATACAATGACAGACCAAATTATTCACAAATTGGTGTCATCGTGAACAAATAGTTATAAGCATAGGCGAAAGGAATTCGTGGGTTGAGGTGCAAGAGAATACCCCTTGGTTGGTTTCAACCGGGGGTAAAGATCTGTCTAAACTGAGTATCATGTCATTCGCACTATATGTACAAACACAAAGTCCACATTGGATGATGATCGGACAGACTGTACACCGACCGGGTCAGGACTAGCACCGGTTGCGCGTGAATGAGCCGAATACGAAAAGGAATGTCACTCGGTATGTGTCGCGGTCTCAGCACCGGACCAATAGGCTCGATCACAAAGAGGAAAGGAGGGAATTTTCACATCCAAACTGGACCCGTTTGACTTCTCAAAACGAAACGAACCCCACATATGGGCCCACGGAACGGGAACTTGCACATGACTGTGATACTGAAATACTCGACTGTCTTCGGCGAGGATTGGTTGCTGTAAGGGAACAATAGAGAGAGAGAAACTAACAAAAGGACTGTTGCCGACAAGACGGGGGAGTTGTAGATGATGCCCGAGATAAAAAATAGCACATAACTGTAAAAAAAACTGGGTCATTCATTCGACTGTAAACACCATGGTGGGAGGGAAGAAACGGTTACGGTTTAATCACATAGAAAGTAACAATTACGAAGACAGAGTCGATCGCAAACACGGAAGAGTATATAAACTCAAACATGCCAGGAGGAGGCTATGGTATCTTGAATCGTGAGAGACAAATCAAATAATGATGATAGTGCAAGCTCGATGATTAAGAATGTAGTCGCGTGGGCGATGAATGCTATCGGACTCAAAAGTTGAACGCCATTCACGTGATATACGTAACACATGCCCTCTCCCCGTGAAAGTCATCTAAGGAGATTGAGTACTTGACCCAATGGGCAGTCGTGATTACCTAAAATTATCTGCTTAACCTCAGCATTGCTTGTCCGGTCGGCCCCACCATACTCATGCAATGCGGTGTTCGAACAGTGACAGGCTTTGTTTATCCCGTTACCTTGACGGCCAAGTCTCTGCACCGTAGAACGACAACGGTCAAACTGAAGCAGCCTGCGTTTGACCATTCAAAACAGCCGGACGTCACGACGGCATGACCGTTAGCAGAAGCCAATCCAGCCTGTTGCATGCGCACCGAAAGTTCGTGCCCCAATCTATCCGCCAGAGGACTGTCCAAATGGTAAAGTGTCTACTATTCATTATTTACCGAGTTAGAGAGCTGAACCACTCCAGTTCTGTAACAGCATTTTGTACTGTGAAGGTGCAAAACACACTATCACCCAACACATTCAGAAAAGCTTGCAACTTACAAAATCTTCAGCATGTAGTACAGTGCCGCCTACAGATTCCAGATCAGACAGCCTGCTAACCGATAGCATGTCGATACATCTATCATCGCACAAGGAAGAATCACACATATAACGAAGTTAATTGGATAAACAAAGGGAGAGGGAAACCCTGACGAACACTGGTTTCAGTGATGAACTCGGGCAGAAAAGAGCAGTCAGATCGAATTCGGTTTAGGTTGTTAGAAAACGGTGGTACTGTTGAAATAAACTTTTCTGATAACGCCTTCAAGGAGAGGTATCGTCAGATTATAGAGCGGTCGACTAAGCTCAATGCGACTCTCAGATAGAGGAATATAAAGATTTTGACTCATCGAAAGGCAGTCGGTGTTCCAGGATTTAGCGAAGTATGAAACTGTGGTCAATACAACCTCGACCAGATCTAAAAACAACTTTCACGTGCGACGAATAGTCATGGAATAGAATGCGTGCGATAAGTTTAGAGATGTTGATTAAATCAATTCCTCTATGATTTCCACAAGAGGATCGATCACCCTTCTTGAACATCGGTAAGACGACCGACTCACATCGATCGGNCCTCCATCGCTAAAGCGGATAAACGATCCGGGTCAGAAGCCTTATTCCCTCCAAGATAACACATCAGTCGGGTAACCTCTATTCCAGAAGGGCCGACACTATTTGGCAGTGGATGCCCAGTTGAAGCAGAAGTTAGTAGGTCAAATGTCAATGCAGGNGCAGGCAGTGTTTCCTTCTAAGGGTTATATATTCAAAAAGCTAAATTATTTTCTGCTCAGTTGACGATGCAACAGTTGGGAATTTCTCGAGCACAGCTTTCTTAGACCACACCGCGATGTGGTTCGGAATGAACTTGTCCCTTTGTCCTGTTCATGTAACCGCATGAGCATTCACATATGAATGAGAAAACGGAACGCGATTCTGTCGAATGCTCAATGGTCCATTCACGACATCCGGGTGATCACTCGGTCAGCTGCATAGGGAACAAGTTTGACGACAGAGTGCAAGCGCTTGCGAACTAACCACTTGAGGTTATTGTCTTGTTAAGGTGATTGTAGTGATTTTTATTTTCGATAGCCGGTGCATATCTGATGTATGTTTTAAATTCAAGTGTCTTAGCTACTCCGATGTCATTCCTTAACCAAGTGCACTTGCACTTAGCTCTTTCTGAGTTTGGGAAGGGAAAGAGGGAGCAAGGCAGCTCAAATTGTTGCTGAATTCATGACAGATCATTCTACCGAGCACGTGTTGTACAAACGGCAAACTTCCATGCCTCTCTCACTCCTAACTGTTGTCCCGGAATTTTTGTCAAGCAATTTTGTTGTTATTGTTTTTCTTTAAAACTGCCTCATTTTGTGAGTTGCTTTTTTTCTCCTTTTAGTTCAACGCACATTTGAATCAAGCCACGATCAGCTTCACCGCTGTCGTCTGACTTACTGGTTCTCCTATTATTTGCACTATCTCAAGTCGTAAGCTCTGTGAACCCAAAAACTAAACAGACGATTTAGTGCCAAGCTTATCCCGGCATATTTTCCAATTCAAAATTTTGGTTGCGTGCGCTTAAATAAGATTGGCACGTATCTTTGTGCTGAATACCCAGCTAGCGAGAAGCCGGGCTTTTGAATCTCGAACGTTGTTTACCTCATTCTCAACTTCTGATACCTATTGTATGGATAACGGGTCGGGAAGTCTAGATTGCGTCACACCCCACTTGTGTTTATTTCCGTCAGGCGGGACGCCTCTTATGTTTCATCGTAGTTTCCGGGGCTGGGAAGCTTATTTTGATCACTTTAAGCTGTCTCGGCCGCTAATTGTGTGCGCAATCTATCAGAGACGGTGGCCGCACTTTCTGTGGTCTCTTGGTTGGTCCCGACAAGGACAAAAAAGTACGCATTGTTGACGAGTCTCGAGCAGAATGACACAGCTGTCCAGTGCTCTCTGTCGGTCATAAACAAATCTTTCTATGGCTAATAAACGCAGTAAACTAGTGAGGAATTAACTATCTCCCAAGGAGTGAAACACAGATCCAAGATCATTAACAGTGCCTAGCGCAGGCCCGGATGGCCTTATCCAAATTTACAAATTTTAAATGCTCAAACCATTCACACAGAGTGATGACCGTCGACCGTGTAAGGGTTTGAAGTCCCGACTCGAATGTTCGCGGTTTGAGTCCTGACAGGGACACAAAAGTACGCACTGCTGAGGTGTTCCAACCGGGACGAAACAGCTGTCCAGTGCTCTTCATCGGTTATCACAAATCTCCACCTTGCTACTAACATGTATTGATTCAATCAAGTAATTTGGGTTTTCAGTGCTCAATCTATTTTGGTGTTCAAAAAATCTGGCTAAATAATTGTGAGTGCGATAGTTACTAATGTATTCCGAGTAAGTGGTTTTGTACAGATGATCCGTAAAAATCTTACATGAATCTGTATGATGCCAAAATAGGCCTTCATTTTATCCAATTTACGGTCGACAATTTTCTAAACCGAGGTCGCACTACAGAATGTCCTCCGTTACTCTATGGGCCAATCGATTTTCTTCAAATTTTGAGTTTTTTTCTGTGCTCTGAGAGGCATAGCGTCAGCTCAAGCAATGCAGCTCACATGAAACGCATTGCCACACGCGACAATGATAAAAACAATCACAGTCGTGCAGTCGGTGTTCAGTCATTTCCGGGTCACGTGATTCGTACACATTGTGTTAAATGATAGAGAGGAGTTAGCAGTTGCAGTAAACGTCAAAATACAGATGTGGATATGCATTTTACATCTGCAAGCTTCCGGATCGTTCGACAGAAGAATGACAACCATGAAACCCGAAAACAGTTTATATCGTGTCCGGGTGAATGCTGTCATGGCAGACACAAACATGAGGTTACTTCTAGATGGTTTAGTGACAAGATGAGGAAGTCCACTCTAGTTTGGAGTGGGGAGTAAGAAGACTACAGTGCTCCCCACGGTTAGCCATCCTTCACGCGTCTTATTGCATTCATTCGTGGTTTTTCAGCTGCGATATCAATCTGTTTATTCATTAGGACAAAGGCACGTCCCAACAGCGAGGACCTATAGCATGGGTGATAATGGACGCCCGAAGATCACGTAATCAATCAGTTGAATCAAAGCGTTTCGCACAAGATTATGCGACAGATAAACCGAGGCCATTTCCAGCGGATTGCGACCACATCACAAAAGTGCACGCGCATAGGCACAAAACCGATTCCTGTCATGTCTGTCGGAATTGAGATATCTCAGCCCACCTCGACAGCTTTGGTTGTGACTGCATTACCGTATGATCATCACAATCAGGATTAAGGCACAACGGCAAGGTTGCAATGTAATCATTTCGGCGAATATGACGTTGCATATAGGGAGTTCATTTGAAATTTTCTTAATGGATACGACTGGGATGAGTTGGTGCCTACGCTCACGCACTGTTGTGATGTGGCCGTGATACGCTCGATATGTCCTCGGCCTGTCCGGCACACATTTTCGGGCGGAACACCTTCCATCAGTGGGGTGATTGCGACATTTTTGGGAGTTCATTCTCAAATATGTTGTTCTTAAAGCAAGGCGAAAGACCGACGGTGGAAATCAGCCGAGACAAGGCACGTTCACAAAAGCCGCAACGAGAAGAACAAGGCACTCAGTTGGAAACCGAGTCGATGCATCCGTGCATGTGCATATTCCAAGAAAAGGAACAAAATTTAGTGCGGAGCTTATCGATTATCGATACGGGTTATAGTCACTTCGATCGCTTGAGGTCCACCAGTGGTTTGGAATTTCGGACAGCAAGATAAGGCCCAAATAGAGTTTCGTAAGGGTTATTACATAGATGGATTGACGAACCTACGGATCGTCAGTGTTCTTTAGTGGTGGGTTGTTATTTAAAGACCAAAGCGGCACTATCAACGAGAGTTATCGTGGTAAACCAGCGTTTGCCGAGTTTTGCATTGTCATGAGTTTTAACGGATGTGATTGATTGGAGCACATTCAAAAGGACTAACCACAAAACACTGAACGAATGTCGGAAACAGATTGTAAAACGTATTCAAAATGGAGGCAATCCCAAATGGGTTGCTTGGATTCTGGGACTACATGTAAAAGAATGTCGATCTGTTGCAAAAACGATGCGTGAAAGGATCGTTAAACAAGGAATGACCTGGCTGAAGTCCGATGATGATATGTCAAAATTTGACAGTATACGGTACATATTTGCATTCGTACAT